CTAAAAAAAAAAAAAGTAGCTAAAGAAAATTTTCCTTATTATTTCAGAGCTTCTTACAAAATGTCCTAATCAAAGCAAAATACCAAATTCTTTGGTAACTTTTCCTGGATGGCTACTTGTAAGTTACTCTGTTTTGTTTTTCTGTCTTATCAGGTCCTTTATTTCCTACACAATGAGTGTAATTGCTGTTAATTTTGTTGTGCCCTTAACAGTCATGTTTTACTGTTATTACAATGTTTCCCGGACAATGAAACAATATGCCAGCAGTAACTGCCTGGAGAGCATTAACATAGATTGGTCTGACCAAGTAGATGTGACAAAGGTAAAGTAGTAAATGTTTTGTTTTAAGCATGTTCTTTGTTTTAAAGTCCTATTGTCAAAGGAATGGTGCAGCCTTTTAAGCATTTTGGTTTCATACATTCCCCCTTTCCTTTTATACTAAATATTAGCTGGTACTGAGCCTTGGTAAAAACTCTTAGCTTGACTTATCACACTAGATTCTTTATCTTTGGTCTAGTACCCTTTCCAGATGAATAGCTACTTTGAAGGCTGGGAGCATTGTGAATTTTCCTGGCCTCTCTCCTCTGTCATTACCTAGAAATGCACCTCCAAGGTGCCCTAGGAGGACTTTTACTCTGTGTCTGCAGAGTCCTTAGGCTTCCTGCTTGGTTCACAGATGTATCTGGTCTGAAATGGTTTGGTAAGTCTCAACTGAACTTGTGGCCTAGGAATGAGAGTGCATTTCCAGCTCCCAAGATGTGTAATTCCAATCCCTTGTTCTTTTCAGTCTATTGAGCTTATCTTTTATGTAAGCAGTAGGAAATGTGAGTTATGGCATGAAATGATATATACTGTCTGGAAGGCTGACATTCTTTTAATGTATAAAAGTCCTTGAGAAATCTTGAAGTTCACCAGCTCCTTTGATTTTGTGTAAAGATGTGATTTATGGTTGGGCATGATGAAAAAGTGTGAGAGAATTGGACAGAAGAGTATGTACCTATGTTTTTGAATTACTTATCAGGGCAAACAGCATTCCTTGGAAAACTTTCTCATTGCTAAGTTCTGAAGAATAGTATTTCTACCTTAAAAGAGTTGAGTGTTTTACTTTTGTGAAGAACTTTAAGAATACTTGAAGCTGAGGATTCAGTTAAAAATTTAGACTCATGTTTGTGAAGAAAATGCATTTTTCCTATTTTTCAGTTGAAGATACTAAGTTTAATAAAAAGGAAAAAAAATCTTTGGAGTTGAGCAAAGAGAAAAAAATTAATGCTTTGGAGTTAAGCAATATCCTTCTTTAGAACTGGACTGCTATCTGCTTTTTGCAAATTAGCATCCTCTAAGATTTCTATACACCAAACTTCTAAATGAAAGGGCTCTTTCTTACTTTTTGGTATTGTGTTTGTATTTAAACTGGGATCTTCTGTGAGAGTCACTCCTTGTGTATTGATTATGCTCTAGAGCAGCTCATTCAAAGTAGCAGTTTACATCTTATTTTTGATTTTGTTGATCTCTGAAAGACTAATTAGGGGCGTAGGTGAGCAGCACTAGGGAATCCTGTGTGTACACAGTCCTGCAGTTGTTGTTGGTTTTCTAGCGGTTTATTTTGTCCTCTTGATTCATTTGAGATTTCCATTCCAGTTTCCACTATTGATTCATGTCCCTGACAAAATCCAGAAAAGTCTGTCTCTGTTGATAACTCCTCCTACCTTCTACTACCCTCAGTTTGTCACTCTCCAGGTCTGGCTGTGGCATGGCATGTCCTGGGATGTGAGCCCCAACTTGCCCAGGTTGTTCTCTCTGCAGGCAGGTAGAGAAGACGTGACAGCTCAGATACCTCCTCTGTACCTGAACATGTCTTTAATGCTTTATTAAACCAGGCAGACACTTCTGGGTTCCTTAACTATATGTCCTAGAACATTTACTTTCTTTTATTTAATGGTACCATACTTAAGCCTTATGAAACATGTTTATTAACAGCCTAATTAAATATTTGGCTTACATTTTTGTCTCTGTTCATATTTGTTGTTTGTAAGAGCATCACAGAGTGACTTGTTACAGGGGTCACAGTTTATGTGTGAGGTCCTCTCTGGTAATTTAAACTCCTGATGGGCAAATTTAACATAATGATCAGTGCTGATTTTGAAGGAATGTTGTATGTAATGAAATGGCACCATGCCAAACACATGGCAGTGAGGTGTGCTAGTAAATCCCCAAAGTGAGATTTCTGAGTAAACTGTCAGAATGTGTCAGGTGTGCTTGTTTATATATTATTTCATTCAGGATACGTCTGTTTTCACCTGGTGCACGTGCTTTTGTTATGAGGTTTTGTTGTGAGGTCTTCATCTTGAGGTAATACTGGTTATGTACCTGTTCCTCTTGTTTTACAGATGTCTGTTGTGATGATTATAATGTTCTTGGTGGCATGGTCTCCATATTCTATTGTGTGTTTGTGGTCTTCCTTTGGAGACCCAAAGAAAATTTCTCCTGCGATGGCCATCATAGCTCCTCTCTTTGCAAAATCTTCCACATTCTATAATCCCTGCATTTATGTCATTGCAAACAAAAAGTAAGTGTTCTGAAATTAGTAGCAGTCTATTTCATGATTTTAGCATATCATCTGAGTATAGGAGGATCACCTGTAAAATATGGCAAACTGATTAGTGAAGAGCAAAAGGTACACCACTGTTAACTTGCTGAAGATGACCTTTTGGCCAGGAAGGCCTAAAATAAATTGTTATGATTATCATCAGAATATCCTGAATTGGTACATATTTTTGAGAACATATAAATGTAGCATTTGAAAGTCTCATTTGTGTTTCCTCAAGGGGAGTCAGTATGGAATTTAGATTGCATCAGTAATAGCCTGGTTTTAATGACTGTGGCCAAAGTGTGTTTGTCTTAGTGATGGGTAACTTGTGTAGATTTTCTTATTTGCTTTTGGATGTATCATATTCTGATGGATTAGGATGGATTGACCTCTTTCATTAAAGTAAATAGGTTAAGCCTATTCTGATTTGAGCAAGCATAACAAATGCTCTGATCAAGCCAGTGCCTCTGACCGAGGACTGTGTTTTGCAAAGAGGCATTCTTCCTGTCTCTGCTACCAGCCTTCAAGCAGAGCCTGTGATCTCTGCCTAGGCAAACATACCTGAGCCTGCTGGGACAATGGAAAAACATCTGTGTTTTATCCCCATTTTGTAAGTTCATTTTTGTTGTGGCTGTATACTCTTCTGGGATAAACAAAAGCTGCTGTGATCCCTATTTAAGAAATGAAATTAGGTTTACACTCTTTTACTTGGAAGTAAAAAACACCCAGGTCCTTTTCAATTCCAAGTACATGGTTTTTTATTAAGTTCATTCTATTAAAAATGAAAACTGTTGTAATAGTTAAGACCATCTTAACCATTTTTTCCCCTTCTGTTTGGTTCTCCAGCTAATGATCTTTCTGTTTTCCCTATCTTGCCCTTTGCAGGTTTCGGAGGGCAATCCTGGCAATGGTGCGATGTCAGACAAGACAAGAGATAACCATAAACAATGCTTTGCCCATGAGTGTATCTCAAAGTGCACTGACATCGCAGAACTCCAGTCATTTGCCTGCATAAGTTACATGGAAAGGAGTGAAATCTGGGTTCAAGTTAATGAATCTTTTGGACAATTTATTTTTGAATAATAATCTTTCCCAGCTAGCTGTTTTGTGTTAGTCACAGTAATCTTTTTAGAGAAGTTAAGAAGACAAAACCTGCCAAGACTTTAGTTTTTGAGAGTGAGGTTTATGGTCCAGTATTTCTGTCACGAATGAAAAATGGTAGCAGAGTGGCCACTGTGACTCTTACAGAGTTAGACAAGGTGACAGAGGGGCTAGGAAAGACCGAAGCACGAAGTTCTTAGGTTCAGTAACCCCAGATTTTTCATATGTATTAATTCCTTTCATGAAGTACTTTCCACCAGCTTCCCTTGGAAGTTTTCCAGACTTCAAATATTTTGGGTATTCCCTATAGCTCTATATGTCCATACCAAGTGTTCATGTTGATATGCTTTGCAAAGTTCTATTTCTGTGAATATGTTAGGGTGTCAAAATATCTACACTGACCCCATAGAATTTTTTATTAGGATTTAGGATTTTAAAGGCATTTCAGCATATTTAAAGTATTTTAAAAATTTGACTGGCAGAACCAAATTAATTGGTAGTAAGGACAACTTTTGTTTTGTAAGTAGATGTTTCTAGTGGTTGTGACTGCACAGCAAATCCTGAAAATGTGACAAAATGTACCCTAAAGCTTCACACTTGTGAGGCACATAAAACTGAGTAAATATTTATGGTAATATCTCATCACTTCTAAGTCAATGTTATGTTTATATAGGTCTGGTGTTTAATTTTAAAGAAATACCTTTGTCAGTATGAGCAATGCATTTTTTCAGGGTGAAAAAGATGATTGTATAGATTTAGCTTCAACTATTATGTGTGTGCTCATATGCAGTTTGGCTTTGCAGTGTAAAATTTATTTAAAGTCTATATGTATTTTTGGCAAAACGCTGTTTTTACGGGATTTTTTAAAAGCTCTGGAATCTAGGCTTCCTATTAATTTTCCATTTTCAGTATTAAAGAAAATGCCATGCAATATCCTCATGGTGTACTAGATTTCCTTCAGGAACCTTGGAACGCTTTATAGGCAGTATAATACACGCACTGCCTCTTAGGAGAAGAAAAGAGATATTTTATTGCACACTAACTTTACAATCTACATGTCAAAAACAACCTTGGAACATGGTTTTATGCAGTAATTTGAAGCAGTGTGTTGTGACAGAGTATATAGAACGAGCTGGTTTAACTGATGCTGTTCAGGATACATTTGAAGGTTAAGCAACTACGGATCTCGGCTAATCTGTTGTAATCTCCTGTTACTAAATGGATGGCTACATTCACATTTGTAGCACACTGCATGAGTGCCTAGGAATAAAGCTTTCACATTTCTTCATGTCAGTTCTTCTGGGAGGAAGCCATGTATCTGTTTATTTGCTTCTACCTCCTAATGAGTTTTTTTGAAGAAGTTCATGGCTTTTGTCCTTCACAATGCACTTGCGTTTACCATGGCAGAAGTGATGGCACTGGAACAAGGTATATATTTTATTATTTATTACATAGGACAATCTACGAGGAGAAGGGTTGAAGAAATTGGAGGAAACATTGTCAGACACGGCAAATTATTTCTAGCATAGTTACAGTGAAGGCATATTTTACATTAGCGTTCTATGACTTGCAGCATTCCTGAGCAGGAGCAGATGGTGATTATGGCTTTGTACTTAGCAAATAGCTACTCTAAATCTTCATTTATTGTAGGAGGCAATTTGTTTCTGCTCCATGACATTCCTACTATTGCAATAACCTTTCTATTTCTACAAACTACTTAACTAGCAGAAGGTGATTCCGGTTTAAATAAATACAATAGTTTCCTATTTCTTTTTTTAATCTGCAGTAAATCATGTAATTTTTGATAATAAGGAGGTTAATTTGAAATGTGGTGACCTGGTATTGTCGTGTCAATTTTAGGATATACTCTTTGTCATTGCTATTTATTGTCACAGCCTATCTGGTATAAAGCTGCATAAGGAAAAAGTAAAATAGAGGAATAATCTAGAGAAAAGGGGGGAAAAATTTAAGGATAGACTTAAAATGCAGGGAAATCTTCAAGCTAGTATGTACAAACAATATACTCCAAAGAAATCGTTTCCTGAAATCAAATAGCTGAAAATGCTGAGAAATCCCATTTCACTGAAATCATTGTGAGCAGAAGGTTCTTTTCATCTCTATAAAGCAAGTAATTTGTGCATAGACATCAAAAAGAGGGCTAGAAAGCTGTTCTTTACTGAATTTTCTTTGGTATATTTTCAATTTTCAGTCTGTTCTGAAAGGTAAGTACAGAAAATACTTTGAATCTTCATCATACAGAAAAATTAGAGATTATTAATCTTAATTCTGAATTTTAATAATTTTAGTGGGGGGCATGCAGTTCCCACTTGAGATACATGCATGTATTGTTCCTTGTGCAATGGCATCTGTCTTTCAGTTGTCAGTAGAGTGAGGGGTGGACAGAGGGTGGTGCTTACATACTTTAGAATAAAGCAAATCTAGGTTTCATGTGAAAAGATCAGTTCTGGTTTGTATTCTTTTTGTCTTTAGACCCCATGTTCGTGGAGTTTCTTCAGCTTTCAAATGCAGAGGACTGTTTTTGATTTCTGTGTTCTTTGTTCTGGTGGTAGTGTTGCAGAAAGTTACAACATTTGCATTTAAATTTGAAATTCAGATTTCTGAAAAATAAATGCAAGTATGAATCTTTCCCTTTTTTTTTTTTTTTCCTTTTTTTTTCCCCCTCTTGCTAGGTCTGTACTCTGTAATGACCCTGACATGTATGAGATCCCTGTGAATGTTCCTGTGGATACTGTAAAACTTCGTATAGAGAAAACTGTCATACGAAGGATTCCGACTGAAGCCTTTTACTACCTGGTAGATCTCAAATACCTGTGGGTCACTTACAACTGTGTAGCCAACATTGATATCAGCAGCTTTTATAACTTGAAACAACTGCATGAGCTGAGGCTGGATGGTAATCTGCTTTCAACTTTCCCTTGGGAATCCCTGGCAGAGATGCCCAACTTACGGACTCTTGATCTTCACAACAACAAAGTGACCAGCATTCCCGCTGATGCTGGCCGCTACCTGAGAAACCTCACCTACCTGGACCTGTCCAGCAACAAGCTGACCACCTTGCCATCAGATCTCATGGACATTTGGCCTCCCTTCTCAGGAGCTATCGTGTCCAAGAATACAGATATTCTGGTGACACAGAGAGTAATCTTGGGTATGTTGAATAGCCCGTCTCGTTCCTTACTAAAATATACCTAAACATTAAATTGCAAGTGAGAGCAGTTAGGGGACCAGCCTAGGATTCAGGAAAGGGGGTTTTACTCAGGTCACTCTTGTGGTTTGCTCTGTGGTCATTGACTTATTTTCTACTGGTAGCAGAAAACCATAAAATGAATACAATGATCTCCATGTGTGTTGTTACCTCAAAGCTATAAAAATGAAGCAAAAGCTATGGGAATCCAGTTTTCAGGAATATAGACCATTCAATAGCCGTATAAATACAGGACTTACATTGCGTTTCTGGTGACATTTCCCTCATCTCTGTATGTGTTTGCAACTGTAAGCATGTCCATTTGCAACTGCTTTTTCCGGAAGCTCCCAAGCCAAGCAAGCAGCTAGAGCTGATGCTCATATAAAGCCTGTCCTGTGACACAGTGCTGCAGACAGTGTTGGTGGCTCAAAATAGGGCAGCTCCTGGGACCACTGTAGACCTTGCATTACTCTAAAGCTGACTGGTTATCCTGAAGTTTTTCACAATTTACATATTGAATATGAGAGAGAATAGGAGTCTGGTCCCTATATATTCACAGTACTTTTTATGGTGTTTAAGGTAAGTATTTAAGAATAATTTGGTTAGACTGTTTTTTTTTTTTTCATGAATTGATCCCCTTCTCTAGTGTGCAATTGCATCAGTTCTGTTTGTGGCATTGTGCTTTATCTGACACTTTATCTCCACTTCCTAGTCTTGCCAGGGTAACCCCTTGCTCTTCTTCAGTCTTGAGCTGGAACAGTTCTAGCAATACTGTTCTTTTCTATCACTGTTTACATGTAAGTACATATTTTGATGTGTTTGTAGTGCAGCAGGTGGAAGGAAGGAAAACCAGCTGGCTGTCTCTACAGCCGTAATTCTGTAAGCACTGGTAAAGATCTGTCCTGCATTGTACTGCCCAATATTTCCAATTTCTTCATCTAAAGCCCCAGTATTCAGTGTCCATTAGTTCAGCTGCTTTGTTTCACAGCAGAAGCTGCAGCTTGAAACACTCATTCGGATCATATTTTATATAAGTAACTAAATAGATGCAGGTAGGCTGCATGACTTCGTAAGTATGGCAACTGTAGGCTTGCATCATTAAAGGGTTTTCATTTATTCAGAATTTAAAAAAAAAAAAAGAAAAAAATTAAAAGCTGTAAAAGTGAGTCCATCTCAGTACTCCTTTCCCTGTCCTCACACTGAAGACTACAGGAGCTGATTGTGCTAGTTCTAATCCTCATGATCTCATGTGGGAGTCCCAGAGGCTAAGTGGTTTCCTTGTCTTATATAGCCCTCACCACTTCAGACAAAACAAAAGGAACTAAGGAAAACAAAATAACCCCCAACATGAAAAAACACCAGAAAAAATCTCACACCCTCACACACTCTTCTCTCCCCTTAACTCTGGGAATTATCTGCAGGCTTCCTTGGTGCAGGCACTTTTCCAGCCTCCTGTAGCCCCAGCAAACCCTCTGGTGCAGGCATTGAGTTCTTTGAAGGCTTGTGTTGTGACCTTTGGACCATTCTCTGTTGTGAGCTACAGCTGGTTTTTAACACAGGACTCCAGAGAGGAACACACTGGGTTTAGACAGAATTTTGCTTCTCTTTTTATTACTGTTAGGTGCTAAGGGAGGCTCTGTGCAGCCATTATAGATTTGCAACTGAGAATACAAAATGCCAGGTAGTACTTTTCCTTGTGTTACATTGAGTAAATTTACCTTGGATAAGCTGTGAATGAATTAGCTGTATTTTATCTTCCATTGACATCATAGTTTTCTGATGAGTGTATCCCAATGCAGACAGACGTTACTTGCTACATAAGAAACTCTATAGTGGGTAAGGAAACATCCCCTTCCTCTGGAGATTAGAAAGTGCAATGCTCTTTATGTCATGAGGTATTTTGACAAGTTTATTTAGACTCCACTGAGTTTAGTGCTTCCTTTCTGACAGACCTCCTTTCTGTACTGGGCTTGCTGGAGCCTGAGAAGGAAGTGCATCCCACCCCAGAGCCTTCTATGATAACTTCCTCCAGTGCTTATCTATCAGGGTAGTGAGAAAGTTTCTCCTAATACCTAACCTCAATCTCCCTTACTGCAAGCTAAGCTGATTACCTCTTGTCTAGGTTTTCCTTCCCTGTTTGCTGTCCTAACTAACCACACCATTTCTTTCACCAGCTTCTAATATAATGTGAAGGCTTTTGTGGGTTGTTTGGTTTGGTTTGTTTTTTTCATTTGCTTGTTTTTGGTTTGGTTTGGTTTTTTTTTTTTTTTTGCTGTGTGTGTATTTTTATTTTCTTTTCATTTTCTGCCATAGTTACTGTTCCCTTTGGACACCTTTAGGTTTAAAAAATATTTCTCTTAAAATATGATGCTCACAATTGCACGCTTTGATGCTCAGGAGTGTCCTATGTGCTCCAGCCACTCTCTGTGGGAACATCCAGCCTGACCTGTGTACCTACATGGAACCCTCACTGCAGCCAGAACTCTGCTGGAAGCTGGAACCCAGACAAAACTCAGGTTTTGTCTAGTCAGGAAAACAGCAGTCAGATTCTAATTAGTGTAATCAGTTATGACTTGAGTTGTCTTCACTCCTGGTTCTGGTAAAACAAGATTGTCACGTGTATGTAATTAACAAGATCAAAACCAGCAAGGCCCTAAACTCATATGTTTGTGCAAATGTATTTTTTAAAACCAGGAGGCAGTTTTATCATTGGTGTCTTGACTGAGCAATTCCAGTTTGTCATCTCTGTACAAAGAGAACCTCTTAAGGTTTGAGTTTTTTAACTACCTCTCACTGTATGAAGTTCCTCTGTGTGTGCACTATGCTAAATGAAAGAGGGTTAGGGAAGGATTCCTGGCCCTCTGGCCAAGTGGCTCACTCTGACTCTCATCCACATAGTTTAGGGCCAGCTCTCTTTAAAGAGAGTGTCTGTTCCACACTTTGTAAGATTTAGCCCTTGGTTCTCTGTGGGCTCTACAGGATGCTACAGTGACTCTCAAATGTAATTCTGGGAATGGGGGTGGTTTTTCTTCAGTCTAACCTGCCTGAAGTTATGTGAGAATGACATTGGAAGTCATTCATCTGTGCTTTTGGAATCTGAAATAGCAGGGGTATATTGTATGCCTGAAGCGCTGACAGACACGCGGAATAGTTGAAAGGTACAAAACCTGCTGTGCTTGCTTCAGGGAAAATGACAGGATAGAGAGAGTCATCCTTGGTGTGGTCTAATCTATAAACCTTTCAGGAAGCAACCCCTGGAGTGCTGACTGTCCCTGGACCCATGTCTTGGGAAGTGCCCTTTGGAACAGCTCAAAACAAAGCTGTGGGGTGAGCTGAAAATTAAACAGTGCAAATGATTGGGGGATCAGCGTGTGAATTCATCTGGCCCTCTTGGTTAACTCTGGAGCCATAGCCTGATACTTTGATCCAAATCACAGCTAAATTTCAGCACTGGCTGCTGTGCAGAGAATTGCATTTCTGGCAGGAATGATGGCAGTAGCATTTTCCATATGGTGGACTCTAGTGAGTCACTGAGAGGGAGAGGAGTCCAATATTTGACAGAGTAGCAGTTATGTGAGATCTTGCCTCTGTTGCATGCAGAGGTGCCAAAAATTTGGAATACTGCAGGTCTATGAGGCTCCTACCTGTTATGCTAAGCCACAGGATAGATGTTGCTTTTCCTGAAACTACTCCATTAGCAGCTGCCATGTGGTGAAAATGCTGCGACACAGTGTTGGATATGGAATTTACTGTTTAGAACCATGGATTAAAATGTGTAAGTTCAGTTGGAAAGAACCTGGGGTAGGCTGGCCCAAGGTGTGGTGAATATGTCTATCAGCCCAAAACTTGAATATTTTACCTCTTGCTATTTTGCAGCAACTGAAAATCAATGTATTACACAAATTATGGTCTGAGTCTGGTTACTGATTTACAAATGAAGTTTTGCTCATAGCTAAAGTCCATATTGACACAGCCCAGGGGAACCCTGCTTACTGAGAAGACTACAAAAATGTGCATGCACAGACACACATATACATAAGTTTGCCATTGTATGTGCAAGCATACATATAAATGTGTGAGAGTAATTATAAAATATGGTAAATCTAGAATAAAGGGTTTTGGAGAATTTTAATATTAAAATAACACTGCATTGGTATATTGCAATGCATAAATATCTATCAATGTTTGTTTTGCCTTGGCTAGTATTTCTTTCTCAGATCAACAAGCTGCCTTGATATTTCTACAAAAAAACCCAGGGTTTATAGAGACATTCCCTTTCCTCAGATACATGTGTCATCAGGGATTTATCATTATTTTCATTTTTGCTTCTTAAGAAATTATTTCTTATATAAAAGATCCCTAATATTTTCCATTTTCTTATTTCCCCCCCTTTTTAACCTTTTCTTTATTCTTTCACATGTTTGTTCTCACTTCTAACATCCTGTCAGCACAAGCTGCTAAAGTTCAAAATGCCCCTTGTAGTTTGGAAACTAGGTTTACATTCATATTTCTGTTCTCTTCAACACTAACTGAATTATAATGAAATGCAGTGTTTTATCTTGTTTCCAACTCAATAGTGCTTTCATCTTTTCATTTTTGGAATTCACATAACTTGGTGATTTACAATGACTAGAAATAACGTGAATACTGTCAGATATTGGCAAGACACAGATAAACAGAGGGGCTGTGCTGCGGGGGCAAGGAGCTGTGTCTATTATATATATTTATATAAGTTCTGCATCTTTAGGAGTTTCATCAGGAAGCATGATGGATGGGAAAGATGAGGTGTCTGACTGACATTACTCTTCCTTAGCTCTAAATTCAGGCTGTCAAACCTGTGTCCCAGGCTGGACAAAACATCCAATCTAAGGATTGTTCGTTGTTACTTCATCATTCCTTTTATTTTGTCAGTTTCTGATACGTATTATAATAACTTTGGCTTTTCTTCAGGGCACTGGGAGAATATGAAAGCTGTGTAGCTACATATATTAGGAAAAGTTCCTTCAGTAAAAGGGGGCTCAGGGAAGTGGTGGAGTCACCATTCCTGGAGGTACTTAAAGGACATGTGAATGTGGCACTCAGGGTCATGGTTTAGTGCTGCACTTGGTGGTGCTGGGTTAGCAGTTGGACTTGATGATCTTAAAGGTATTTTCTAATGTAACTGTTTTTTGGTTCTATTTCAAAGACTTCCGAGTGCTTCAAGTAGCTTAAAAACAATAATAAACCCCTTCCTTTCCTGCAGTAAATTTCTTAGCATAGTGAGGAAAATTGCAAGAAAGTGAGAAGAAAAAGAAAATTACAGGAGTATTGTCTCTGACGACAGAGCTTCACTAACTGAAAAGATGAGGACAAATAGCTACATATATGTGCTTGACTGAGCAGAATTTTTATAAGCACAAGCAGTTGATGTGTCTAGATATAGAAAACTCTTGGATAAGTCTCTTTTCTCCTTATGAATATATATGTGAAGTTCACAGGAAAATTTTTTAAGTTTTGGAGCTTTTTTTTGAGGAAAATCAGTTGCTGATACACTTTCCTTTGACTTCCCTTTCTCTGTTCCTGCAAACAATAAGTAGTCAATAGATGTAAAATCTCTTCTGTCTGGAAGGGGTGAAATTGGATTGTGATGTCAAAGTCATGGAATCTCTTCAGGTCAAGTCTTGTTTTAAAGAGCAGGGATTAATTGGGGTTTACCACAGTTTTAACCAATCGCTACCATTGCGCTTAAAATAACCTAATCTTGGTCTGGTTATAAAAGGAAAAAGTAGTTAATTACTCATATATTCTTTCATCTGCAGGTTTTTATTCCAGAACAACCCATCATTTTTCCAATAGCTGTTTTGATAATTCTTAACGATACACTCTGAAAAATATTTGCAGGTGTTCAGGGCTCTTTTTTTCTTTCAATACTGGTTTGACTTATATGACTTGTTTGTTGTACTGATCAGTAAATTCAGTAGCATAGGGTCCTTGCATACCATCCCTTATTTCAGATCATAAGTTTTGTTTATTAGTAGTACTCAGAAAAAATTAGAAAGACATATTAAAAAATATAAGTCCAGCAAGAAAATACTTGAACTCCTGAGTGATATGCTGTGTTGTATTTTAGCTGGTGAAGCCACTGTTGCTCTATGAAGGTCGACATAGTGGAGCAGTCAATACCAGCTGAGGATTTAGACTGATATTTCTCAGAAATGGCTATTCTCTTCCAACATCATAAGCTCACAAAGAGGGAAAAGCTTCTTATTCATAAACTGGAACCAAGAAGCAAATGTTCCTGGCTCTGACAGAGGAGACACAGGGTTCTTGTGTGCCATCCTAAAAATATTGTAGTCATTACAGTGTTTTGTGGTCCTTCCTATTTTCTATTCTTTTGCTATTCTTCTTGAATATATTTCAGAGGCTGTAGTGAAGCCAACTTCTAACAGTATTGGTGTAGTTCAGAGCCAGATAAAAATTCTGTTGGCCTAAAGCGCTTTCTCCTTAGCCTTTATCCCTTTTTTTCAAGGCGCAGGGATGTTGGTGTAAGCTCTAAACCCTTAAATCACCGTATTCTCCTCAAGCATTGAAAAAAGGGTCAGGGAAGGTCAAGCTGTAAGAGCCCAAAGAAGGACTAAGAGCAGAGGAGAGTGACACTAAGCAATAGCCCTAAGAAGCTGTCTTTCCAGGAGGCACAGGCGGTGAAAATGTATCATCAGTCTTAAGACATATTTTCAAAGAGGTTCTAAATGTGGTAGATAAATAGCAAAGTTAAGCACAAGTAATGCCAGCACATCACTATGCTCCTGTAAACTTCTGTGAAAAAGAAGTTTAGCTTAATAAACATTCTTACTGTTCTCCCTAACCTCTGAAAATATTCCCCCACCAAGCAGCTGAAGAAAAAACACAAGTTGAAAGAGAAAAGATTAACCCAGAACAGGTCCAATCCTTGATTGTATTTGGGAGTAGTCATGTGTCATACTGTAATCACAATATTCATATACTGACTGACAACATTTCTTTTTTCCTGCTTCCCTCCTTGCCTCAGGTTTTCAGGACAACCCATGGTTTTGTGACTGTCGCATTTCAAAGCTAATTGAATTTTCCAAAATTGTGGACACCTCCGTTGTACTTCTTGATCCATTGATTTCATGTAGTGGACCTGAGAGCCTGGCAGGAATCTTGTTCCAGAGAGCTGAGTTAGAGCAGTGTCTTAAACCATCTGTGATGACCTCGGCAACGAAGATCACCTCCCCGCTGGGCAGCAATGTCCTGCTACGCTGTGACGCCACGGGGTACCCAACACCACAGCTCACTTGGAATAGGTCAGACAATATTCCAGTGAACTATACAGGTATAACTGCTCTTTTATAGGAAATGGGAGAACCAAAAATTGTTGGGTTGCTCGTGCTTTGAGATCATGGCAATGAGTAACAATGGGCCATGTATTGTGTCGAGCTGGCAATCGTATCTGTGCAGCAGCTGTTATGAAATTCTCTGTCTAGTTCTCAGTCTTAACAGGTCCAGCAGACTGTTTTGATTCAGGATGTGGTGTGTTACAAGAACAATGTGTGTGGAAGGGAGAAAAGGTTGAAGTGGGGGAAGGATAAAGGGAAATGGAGTTTGGGTTATCTGGACCCCTAACTCAGAAGCTAGAAAATAGAAAGGAGAATTTTTTGCTGGAACCTGTGTTCGAAAATATTTGTGTTAAAAAAACCAGTCAGGCCATAACTGAATGGCTTAAAATTCAGCATTGTAAACAAAAAATTTCCCAAATTCATGTTTTCTGTGTGCAAATGATGCAAGGCTATAATTGTCTGACATCATTCTAGCTGCTGGATAGATATTTACGTAGTTACTTAAAGGTAAAAAATGCTACTTGCTAATGCCAAAGAGTTAGCAGTTATCATAGGTCTGACGAAGGTAAGAGAACTGAAATATCTTAGGACAAAGGTAATTTCCAATAGCATTTTAAGTGGGTAGCGTGGTAAATGTCACAGGAAGTCAGCGGGTCTTGTATTTAAGAGTCAATAGCAGCTTTAAGACATTTGATGTCACTTTATGTGGTTTTGTGTTTCTTAGTGAAACTGCAAACTAGTTACTACAGACACTTATTTCCATTTTGACCCAAGATGAGCACTTGTATTTAATAATAGAGTATGGCTGGGAATTCCATAGTTTGTTTCGGAAATTTGGTTTGGTGGTTGTTGTTGTGGGTTTTTGACTGCTTGTGTTTAATTTTAAAAATTTTCATACAAGTCATTCCTTCTAGCAAAAAGGGAAGTAGTCTAATAATGTTTATTTCCTCTTTACTTCCTATGCATAATGTTTTACTCTTTGCATTTTCCCACAGTAATTCAAGAGAGTCCTGGAGAGGGTGTCAGATGGTCCATAATGAGCTTGACAGGAATTTCGTACAAGGATGCAGGAGAATACAGATGTAAAGCCAAGAACTTGGCAGGAATGTCAGAAGCTGCTGTGACTGTCACAGTGGTTGGTGTAGTTACTACAACTGTGTCACCACAGAAATATGGGAGGAAGCCAGAGGCTGAGAGGCAGAATACAACTCAGGAGGAATCCAAGCAGGAACCCGAGAGGACAACCACACCTCTTCCCACCACGCCGACCACTACGGCTCTGGTTAGCACTGAAAGATCAACCAGCATGGCATTGCCTGACAAAAAGCAATCCAGACTCATGTTAGATGGAAAGAAAGTTTCAAAGGCAGGGACAAATGGAAACAAAAAGCAGATTGGAGATCCAAGCAAGAAGGGTGGGGATACTTCACTGAACACAGCTGGTACTGCTGAGCAAAATGTCACTGTGAAGAACCTAAGAGTGATCAGCGAAACTGATGAAAGAGTGACCTTAACTTGGAAAACTGTCAATGCCACCGGCAATTCCGCCGTGACTGTGTTATACTCCAAGTATGGTGAGAAAGATATGTTGCCTCTCAGCACTGATTCTAACAAAAACAAAGTCACAATCGATGGTTTGCAGCCTAGTACTCAATATATGGCATGTGTCTCACCCAAAGGCGTGCCACCTACCAAAGAGCAGTGTGTTGTTTTCTCCACTGATGGGTTAAATGATGAAAGCAACTCTGAGTTCTCTATTCTGATAGTGGCCAGCAGTGCAGGCTGCGTGGTTGTTTTACCTTTGATATTTTTCTTACTCTACAAAGTTTTAAAACTTCATTTGAAACCAAAATCTGCAAAGGAAGCTGAACTTGCAAAAGAGACTTATGTACAATTTGAAACACTGTCGCTGAAGCCTCGAACACTGGGTGCAGGAGACCAGCTCTGGGCACGAAGGTACACAGATGAGTCAGAAAGGCTTCTCCTTTGCTCCAGGTCAAGCATGGATTCTCAAATGACCTTCAAAAGTGAGGGCTCCAGGTCTGAGTATCTGTGCTGAAAATGGGTGAGGGTGGAGATGCAATAAATAATAGGTAAAATTAATTTAAAATGGTGATCTGGAAGCAGGTTGATGCTAGATGGTGGTCAGAATACGTTATCTGATGTAGTAGAGTCTTACTGGATGGTGGTGGGTAGGAGAGAGAATAGAAGAAAAATGTTGCCTGGATTTTTTTTTTTAATGTTTGTGATTTTGGATGTGAAGGAATGGTATTCTTCCAATGAAAAATACAGCATGAAATGGTTCCATGGTTAAAGGTATTTTATGGTTTTATTAAAACATTCTGTTTTCTCTCATTTTATCACATGATGTGCTAGGGGCATGTATCAAACATGAATCACAATCTTCTTGAAAGCAATGTACTTCAGCATAATAGGAAAACCGTTTTAACTACTTCTGTTGGATCAAAACTTCATTTGAATATCAAGATTTTCTTCTGACATCAGCTTGTGCTTTGAGGTGTCACACAGCTGCTTGTACAATATCTTGGGTAGAGGTATTCTCAGGTCAGTCAAGATGGAAGTCCCAGTTTATGGACTCTTGAGAGGTACAATACACATTGTATTGTCATTTTGCAGATGTTATTGCAAAGGAAGCTTTAATGTCCTGAAGCTCAGGTAAAGATGAGTAACTCTGAGAGACACTAGATAATTATGTTAACCTACATCAGATGATCTTATTGAAAAATCTCAGCCTTAGAATTTACTTGGATGTGTCTGTCTATATACCTCAATTTCAGAAATCTCTGTGCAGAAAATTCTGTGGTTCTGTGTAATACAACACACATTCTTATATGTCAATATATTACACAGCAAATATTACATTGTATTGCAGAGTACTATTGCAGTGATGTAATACCTTTTGATATTCAGTAAGAGGAAATTTTGTCCTCAGGGCATGTTGAATGTGAAGTTTAATGAGCATAGTGAAAGTTAATTGTGAGTGTGCTTCCCAATGTTCAAAAATCTGGAATTAATAGTAACAATGAATTCAGAATTTCCTGTTAATGATAATAATGAATAGTCTATTCTGAGCCTGCTTTTTTTTAATACCTGAAGTAAATAAGAGAACTTTTGTTGTTCTAGGTTCAGATATTATGTTTAGAAGTATGTGTGAACTGTGAGCCACAGTTTTTCCTGAAAATTACAGCTGTGTTGTTTTCTTGGACATTTATTTCTGGAGGAACTGTTTGTTTTGCTAGGAAATTGGGAATTGACATTTTCCAGAGGGAGAAATATTACTCAAAGCTACAAACCAAAGTTTAGTTTGTCAGCTTCAAAACAGTAGCATTTCTCATTGTCACTAATGCAGGATGAAATTTTGCCTGCTGGAATGCTGATGAGCTTATCTTGACTGGCATAGCTTGGTGAGAGGTGTCAAAAAAGCCTCTGACACAAAATCATGGCAGGAAGTGAACACAGTGAAAAGTCTCTGGTGTGCAGTGACCAGGATCAGTAAAATGGGTATTTGAGAGTATGGGAACCGTAGTAAAGAGTCAAGTGAGATGTTCAAAAGTGCAAAATTAGCTTGTCTGCTTAGAATTAGCCTTGGTGTTCCTTTCTGTGTTACAAGTATGTGTGGTTAAATATCAATCTTTCTTCTTTTTCCATGAATAATTTTGATTGCAATGAAAATAGTTTTAGCTTTCTAAGCTATTTTATTTTGGCAGGGGCTTTTTTTTGAAATTTAGGATTTTTTTAGGGAAAAGAGATTCTCTGTGTGTCAAAACTAAGGTTCATCTGACACATTACTGACAAGCCAAGTTTGAACAGGACCTGAAATGTTACAATACTTGCCTTCTATTTTCCTGATAGACAGTATAGTTGGTAGTTGTTGAAGGTGTTTGCAATTAAAAACACCATGTTTCTTGTTAATGAGAACAATTGTTTTAACTTTTTTCCTGTAGAGTATTTGATTTCAGGTTTCAAAGCTCTAAATCTAGTTCTGGAGTTCAAAAGTGATGCCACCTGACTTGTAGGTGATGCATCAGTATATCAAACGGAAGTGGTGCACGGTTCATTGGAGAGAGCTCACTTGTGAACGTTAAACCTTTTGGTTTGACTAGTGCTTGTGGAATTAGCATGTCCTAAAGTCAGAAATTCATCTCTGGCCACATGGGCTATCTGTATATCAAAGGTGAAATTTAATATCAAGGACATGTTCTTTCAAGAAAACATGTTATACATTATTTTTTCCACGGTTCTTGAGACCAAAGAGTTACATAATCCAGACATGCTTCTGTAACTCATGTGAAAACACTGAATGTGCTGGGGAATTTTGGCAGGAATTTGACACAAAGGGCAAATTACACAATAAAGACATTTGCACTGTATCACCCAGGATTGGTTTAATTAAAGGGCTGAAGAAATACTTTGCTAGCAGATGTAATTTTTTATATTGTCAATTGTTAACAATGGAATCATTGTGAGATTGATTTTGTCACCCATAATAATGTGTGTAATGTCTTCTGAAATGCAGTACTGGATCAAGTATCAGTATGAACAGTGTTGATTATAATCTGTGTAGGACAATTTGGGGAGGATTTAACTGGTGTTTATGTATCGCCTTTCATATATTTTGCACTTTGTTTTCTGAATTCATCCTGCTTTTCACCAAAAAGGTTAGATCTCTTTTTATACATTACCTACAATGGCTGTGTCAAAACTGGATGACTAATGAAATAACTATGTAATGTGAGCTGAATTCTAGGTAAACCTCATTTTTACTTAAGAGTTTTAGTGGGTGCTAGTACTTATCATATTAAGCCATAATCTTGGCTTCAGTGTGCACTTACTAAGCCAAACTTAAGGCATCTGTGCATCTATTTTAGTCCTTGCCATTGCTCACAGTGGGCTTTATATTCCTTGCACCATCATCAGATTCTCATACTTTTCTCTGGGAGGGAATTAAGAGAGAAAACTCTTTCATGTGTAACATGAAAATGTCTGTAATAGCAAAACTATTCATGCTTGGACTATGTCTAGGAGACTAAACAAAGGGCATTTCAAACTCAATACCTTTTCAAAGAAGTAAGTAAAATAGAAGTTGTTTTCATGTGAAAATAAAAAATTGTTTTTATACAAGACAGTGTGTTTGCCTATCCCTTTCATCTTTGTTTATAGCTTTGGACAATACCTGATGAATGTAGCAGTGGGGACAAAAGGAAGTCTGAAAAGAAATGAGAAAAAATACAGAAAGAAGGCTGAGAAACAACAGAAAGGTGATATCCTAGAGAATTTTGTGACTGTGTGCCAGAATGTCCTTTTGCTTGCAATTCTGCCATGTACATGGCAAGGGTGCTGGGGCATCTGCAGACAGGTAGCTGTAAAATCATGGATGAAGATACTGCTGGATTATTGCAATGATTGGATCTCTACACATGCTCAGTTTTGACAAGGTGAGGGCAGCAATAAAACTGGAGTGTGGAACAATGTCACCGGGGGAATTTGAAGAATGCACTTGAAGCTGGTCTTGAAGTCTGCCTGTGCCCCAGTGAAAGTTGTGAGAGGTTTTAGGAGACCACTGCCTTTAAACTGAAAAGGGATGAACAAGTAGCTTATGAGTTTATTGCAAGAAAGAGGGGCTTGCATCAGCAACTGCTCTGGAGAGGTTCTGAAACCAAGATATACTACAATCATCCATCTTGACCTATGATTTTCTTTTAAAAAAAACCAGTTTGTTAGATTTATGGCTGGGAGGTAAACACAAACTTGAATCTTCTTCAAGACCACAGACTAGATTTCAAAATGAACCTTTTATAAACAATCTGACTGTGTGTAGATTGGAAATTTGCTGACATGGATGCCTTCTCTCACAGAATTAATTGCATTGTTCTAGGTGTTATAGAAAGCCACAGAAGCTCCAGGTCAGCATTGTCATGTTTCTTTGTTGAAAATGAGAAGTTCTCCATAGAACAGGTGCTTTTTCTTTTTATTTACAAATCACTGAATTTTTTTTTTTACTCTGAATTTCAAGATATCAGAGCTCCCTTCAGAGTGGAGGCACAAATAATGTGTCATTTTGATATATCTGAAAGACTCCCTTGATAAACAGAGGAAAATCAAGCTGAAATAGTAGTCTGAAACAGCCTGTATGAAGAAGATTTTTTTTTTTTAATTTTTTTTTTTCAAAGCTGTATTATTCATAAGTTCAAAATGGGAATAATTTCAATCGAAAAGGCAGAAAGCAGTCATGAACAAAAGAAATATAATATTTCCCTATATAGAAGTTAGTGCACTTTTCCCCATTCTCCATTTTTTACGAAATAACATCCTAACCTGTTGTTTAAAAAGGAATGTAGAATTGCTGCAGCAAGATAAAAATAGCACCTGTCAGGTATGTATTTTAAGCATATTTGTTCTAACTTCAGGTCTGGTATTTCTGACAGACCCTTGATTGACTTAAGAGTATTACAAAAGGAGCTGACTGTGCAAACAGCTACAACTAACCTCTCATGATAATGGAATATCAGTTTACTGATGGTGTGTGTATGTCTACATTTTTCAGAAGAGGCTCTGACAAGAAAATACTTTATTCTAGAATATGATGAGCTATTATTTGACTGAAATATCTTCTTTTTTTTAAGGAGGAGTCAAAGAAATTTGGTAGTGGTGTGGTTTCTTGTTTTTGGGTTTTTTCTTTTTGGTTATGATCTTTTATGGAACTATGACTGAGAGGGAACTTGGTGAAATGCTTATGCCTGGAGAAGGCTAAAATGGAATGTGTTTTCTTACTTTTAATGCAGGAGAAAGGAGCTTTATATGTGTGTATGTGTGTGTGTGTGTGTGTGCATTGAGGGCAGGAATAGAGTATTTCAAGCTTGTTGCCTCAGACAAAAAGTGCAAGCAGTTTCTTCTGAGGCCTCTGGTATGGGCTGCTGGCACTTGAGAATGCTACTGGACTAGATCGAAAGTAAGGACAATCCAAAATGACAATTACTGGTAGATTTGGTGCAACTCTAGTTTAAATTCAATAGGCTGCTTGTTTGGTCAAGTAAATGAGTACTTTGTTGATTTTTAATTTTTATTTTTTTTTTTGTATTTTCATTCCTTTAGACACACAGTTGAAGGAAACCTCTAGCATCCTCAAACAAATTTATCTAATACTTCAAAAAGTAATTTCAGGAACAAATCTCTAGGTCAGGTTCTTTCTTGACTCTCATTC